CCAAACAACCCGCAGAGTTTCAGGGTGACCGTTTGAAAAGGCTCCGTGGAAGCAAGTCGACACAGAACCAGAGTTACAACAGAAGGGCTACGGGCACTTCCTGTGTGACGCTTTAACCCTCGGCTAACTGATGTCCTTGAAGTTCGTGCAAGGGATCGCGATCCACGAGCTTTAAGAGAGGAGCTGCAGGAGAAGAAATACCGTCCAACATCTCCCTCTTCACCTCCTGGGGACTGGATGTGATGGAGGTTCAGCTCTGAGAAAGGGGGTTACTAACATGAGTTCACCCCAAACTATGGCCACGTGAAGAATTTGCTGCGTGCCAATGGCGAAGGGCGGCACAAGGAAGGGCAGATAGCAGGGAATACGAAGCAACACAGGGAAAAGGGGAGACTCACCATTAATCTGCTGGGAGGAGATTTTCTTTTCACTTATTTTATCGTGGCTGGTAAGCAAGACAGACACGTCTCTGTCTGCCAAGAGATTATCGAGAGCGCTGGTTTCGTGCTGGGTGCGTGCTGCGTACGGCTCCTTGGGCATCTGCACCATGAGATTAGGGAGAGCTTGATCCAAGGGGTCCTCTTCTGCGATGTAGGCGTAGGGACAGTACTCTCGCGTCCTGGAGTAGATGTTCGCGTTGTCGTAGCAGTCTGAGCAGATCACCAACGGCGCCACGCCACCTGACAACAGAAAACCACAGCTCTAAGAGGGTAAGGATGCTCTGCTTCCAGCCTCTTCCCTGTCTTGGCATCACCAGCTGTTAGAGCAGCGGTCGGAAAGGCCTTTATACAGCTAACACGGTAACGGAGTGCTCGATGTTTACTGACGGCGCAGGAGGAACACCAGAGGGTCACCACCACCCACATTCCCAACAGCACTGCCCTTCCGTGGCTGGCCAGGGGAAAGCCACGGACATCAGTGAGTGACCTCACGCTCGCTCCTGTTTCATGGGCAAAAGGGTTCCGTGCAGGTCCAGCCAGCTTGGGCTCCAGGCCGAAACAGCCCTGGAAGCAAACCAGGATCGCCATGGGCACAGCAGACCTGTACTCTGTTCGCCTCAGCCCAGGGGCCATCAGGGTGAGCTACTTCAACCCCTTCCTGGCACAGACTCGTGTAACAGGACTACAGACCGGAGGGAGTGGATCACGGACAGATGTGGAACACTTCCATGGAAGGATCACTTTGGGAAGCCAGCCTGTATAGGGATTTCATGGCTCCTCAGCATGGGGATGGTAAAAACCAGCATCCCTGTAGTGATGATGCAAATACCCTGAAGTGTCCAGCAAGGCAGGGAAATAGCGGAGAACCTCACGAGGACTGTGTCGGCAGGGGCAGGAATTTTATGAGAAGGACAAAAGGTCCAGCAATTCATCTTCAAAGCAAACGTTACTTCCTCTACTGCCTGGACTCACAAGATGCCAAAGGAAAGAAACATCCTAAAAACCTACTGTGACATTTAACCTGGGAATTCTCTAATGGCATCCCTGCCTCGCTGAACTGATCCCCAACCCTGGAGCCAAGAGCCTCTGGAGGGACCTCCGGCACCTGAAGGACAGCAGCCAGGGCAGCTGCGCGCACGCTGCTGGAGCAGAAATCCAACGGCACGCACAGAATGCGGCTGCCTCCACAAACCCCAGAAGAAAACAAGGAGAAGCCTCAAACTCAGAACGATCAATGGAAATTTTCGGATCAACCTGAACTCTTCTCTCGGAGGAGACACCTTTGCTGCCAGCACGCGGCACCGGGCTGCTCCGTGCCGTGCTGCCCAGACCGCGCGGCAGCCGCCGAAACACTGGGAATACACGCGGGGGCTGCGCTTACCCTCTGCGCCTTTGTGCACGTAGCTGCTGGCCGGAGGCATAAGCTGCTGGTGGCTTCCTGCCTCTGAGTTACTGTAGCCTTCCTGAGGCTCCGACAGAGTTCCCTGGGAGGACAGGTAGCTGGGAATGTCTGCAGGCAGGTTCATCTCCTCTGCAAGGCAGAATCAACACGACAACATCAACTTAGCGAGGTTTCAAAGAAGCACCGTGATCCACATCAACACAAACGTCACCCGGAATTCCAGCTCACCTACAGCTAACTTTTTCCTACCCTGGTGATTAAAAACCCGGGCAGGTAGTTGGAAACTACCAGGGCCAGAACGGACGTTCATCACTCCAGGCCCTGAAAATGTTTATAAGCTTATTCAAACATTTCCAAACTTTACTGTTTTCCTTCAACGTAGAACAAATCGAGTATATGAGGAATAAAATTAACACGCTGCTGATATTTAAAATAACCCTCTAAAATGAAGGAATTTGGGCAAATCCCTGAAGAGATTTTAGAATGAAATCTTCAGTTCTTCAATCTTATCCATCAGAGATGAATCCAGAAATTTCCCCACTCCTAACAAGCGTTTTGGGTTAAAAGCAGGGCCTTTTGCCCTTTACCTGTGTTAGTGATGCTGTAATCTTCACTCCTCCTCCTCATGTGGTAGATGACGATAACCCACACCAGGGAAGTTCCCACAACGCAGCAGACCACGACAATAATCACGATGCCAACTGTGGTCCAGCCGTCCTCCTCGTGGACGATGCCGCTCTGGGACGAATCGCAGTTTGGGGAAGCCAGGACATGTAGGTAAATATGGCCGCGCTCGGTGCCCAGCGTGTTGGACATAATGCACGTGTACTTCCCAGCGTCCTCCAGCCCGGCATCCACAATGATAAGGAGTTGATTTGCCGCCGCAAAGAAGTGTCGCTCGGTGACGGTGAGAGGGCCGTCATCTTTGGTCCAGTTGAGGCGAGGGGCAGGGCTGCCGCCGGCTATGCACTGCAGGACGGCGGTTTCCCCCCGCGTCACCGTCCTGTCTTCCAGGGGCCTCACGAAGGAAGGAGTTTCTGCGAGGGCGGAGGGAAAGGAATAAATTGTAAGATCATGGGGCAACACCAGCGCGTACTCCGCGATGTTTAAAACTCTGGTCTTACAACCTGAACCTAAACTTGAGCAGTGAAGCACGGGATTCGGGAAATCCCGAGTTCAGCTCGTGTACGGATCGCTGCAAATGCAGCATGGAATTATCCCAGCCAGGGTCTGCTGTGTGTATTCCAACCCGTAATTTGCACACGACCACAATGCCAAGAGTCAGTGTCTTCCAAAAACACCACATTCCAGAAGGAAACTCCTTCCATTATTAGTCCAGTGAAGCACTAGGACAGGTTGCCCAGAGAAGCTGTGGATGCCCCATCCCTGGAAGTGTCCAAGGCCAGGCTGGATGAGGCCTGGAGCAACCTGGAAGGTGTCCCTGCCCCTGGCAGGCAGGTTGGACTGGATGGTCTTTGAGGTCCCTTCCAACCCAAACCATTCCAGGATTCTATGGTTCTGCTCCACGTGGTTCACGTTACCTGCAACTCATTGTTCAGTGAGCACGAGCCACGCGTGCAGAGAAGCTGCGCGAGCCCTGCAGGAGCGAAGGGGCCCGCCCGCCCGCAGAGATGAGCCCCCCTCACCTAGCACGGTCAGCGTGGCGTTTGCCGACAGCCCACCGGCGGCATTCTGAGCCATACAGCTGTAGATGCCCATGTCCTCGATCTTCACATTCGCGATGAAGAACACATCGTCCTCAGGCATGACGTGCATCCTCCTCTCTCTCGCAGCAGGGAAGTCCGTGCCACCATCCTTCTGCCAGGAGATCTGCGGAGAAGGGTGGCCCTCGGCGGCACACTCCAGCCGGGCCATCGCCCCGGTGCGGATAGTAAGATCCATGGGGGTTTTCAGGAAAGAAGGCAGCTCTGGATCAGAGGAGACGTAGTTGCAGTGATTTCAGTACCAGGGGAAAAGCAGGAAAAGCTCTGCAGCTCAGAGAGTATCTGAAGACCAAACCCTGAAACACACCTGGTGTTCTCCCTGAGAGTGAGGAAGATTCGTCTCAACTGCAAAAATTTCCCATTTCTAAGAGTCTATCCTCCAAATTTCAACACAGTATCTACAGTGGCCGCTTAAGATGATCAGAAGGCCAATATTTCTCGCAGGGAAAAGACAGCTTATCCTTCTTCAGCAGCCCTTTGTCACACCTCCCTCCCTGGTAACCTCCCTTCCCTCAGGCCCAACAAACGGGATCATTACGGCTAAAGCTTCGTGACCGATTTCTCAGCTTGTTTCCAGCCCCACCGGTTACTTTGGGCCGAACCCTCCCCAGCTTCACGCGCGCGTGGGAAAGGTGCTTAGTTCTGAGGAGACAGCAGAGGGAGCTTTTAGTTAGAGAGACCTGTGCCTCCGCCTGGCCCGATGGACAACTGTGGTGTAAGGCACCGCAGGGGAGGGATCTGCCCCTTTCGAAAAGCTGACTCAAAAGCAAGAGTTTTTTGGGCCAGCTCTAGTGAAAAATAGGCTTGTAGCTATTAAATAAAGCTTTTCACCTTAACGCCTTCGTTACCATTATGGCTTACCGTTGACAGTCAGCTTGGCTTTGTTGGAGTAATTGGAGCCGAAGTGATTGGTGATGATGCATTGATACTTCCCTTCGTCCGTGAAATTCACACTGAAAAGGTGCAGGACAGTGGTGTATTCCACCACCTCGCCGCTTTGCTGCTGGTACCTGGCAAAATTCTCCACCTCGGCATCGTACAACACTTCGCTGTCCTTCCGCCAGGCCGTGGACATGGGGGAGTCGCTGCTGCTGACGGCGGTGCAGCTCAGAGTCACGTTCATGCCTCGCAGAGCAACGGTGGTCTCGGGATGCACTCTTATCTGCGGTTTAGGGAAGTTATCTGAAAAGGAAGGCGCCAAGATGAGCCACTTTCCTCTCCAACGTCCCATTAATGCTGCAAGAACGCTCATGCAAAAGGCAACGTAAGGAGGGGGAAAGCTCTGGGAGCAGATGTCCTGCTCGAGGTGCACGTTTCAGCTGCTTTCAGTGGGAAATCAACCTGTGGAAGAGGATTAGAACCACGGGCAGACCAAGTGTTGGGAACAACCAGCGTAGGAGCGCGGCCTTGCGCGGCGGCCTGCATTTTGTACAACGGTCAGGAACTTGCTAGGTTTAGATCACACCCAAAAGCCCTGCTCAGCTGAAGAGCCAGGCTATTGTAGAGGACTAAGACTTATTTTCAGAGAGTTTAAGTATCCTGAAGAGCCTTCATGTTCTACAAATACAAAGCACAGCAAGCTGGCAGCTCTCTCTCATCCTACTCGCTGAGTTATTTCAATCCCTAGTACTTCAGACCTTCCCGTAGGCACGCGCAGCGCTCGCTGCCAGGCACCGCAGCACTGATGTCAGAAGCGGGTGCTCGCACCTGCACAGATTGTTATGGCCTTTACCACCAAAAGAAAGAATTGCATACACACAAGGAACGTTCATCAGATCGCACACCCGGAAAACGGAGCAGCAGACTATTCCCAGGTCTGCCACAGACCACCCGTGACTCTGGGCAAATAGTCCCTCGCTTTTCCACCTCACACGTCTGAAACTGTGGCGTCAGAGACCTGATAAATGCTACAGATATGGAGCATCAGAGAATGTGCCAGAGTATCATCCACTCTGGCCTTGCTGGTATGGACAAGAGCCAGCGGGGAGGTGTCTGCAGAGCTAACGGCACTCATGAGCAGGAAGAAGGGAAGCATCATCAGTTTTTCACAGTAACCTACATGGAAATCGATGCAGTCTCACAGAGTTACTCCCTCGAGTCAGCTTCAGTGCTCAAATACCACAAGGCAACGAGAAACAGAACGAAATCCCAAACTGCAAAGCAGACTCTGTGACATGCACAGGCCCACGCGCGCACCACGGCCCAGACCGAGCCGTTTCAGCCCGGTTTCACAAAGGCACCTGCAGAGCCCGGCGTCACCACACTGTCACACCCAAAGTCATTGCGAATACAAACCGCAGACGAAGTCATCGGGGTCCACGCTGAGAAGGCTTTGTCCCGCTAGCCACTCGGGATGAGCACAGCTCACGTTCACGGCCCGCTGCAAGCGGCTGTCTGAGAGCCACGGCGGCAACCATTTCAGCTGGCAGTCACAAAGCAAGCTGCTTGTGTTCAGAATTCTGCAGAAACGGGCAAAACACCAGCGCGATTACAGTTCATCAACTTCACATTTCTAGGTATGATGTCATGCAGCACAACAACTTGCAGGACAGACATTCAGAAATCTCAGGACTTATTCTTTCACGCCTATGGGTATTCCCAAATATGCTGGGCGAGCAGGACTGGACCGAGCCCAGCATTCTGACAAGGAGTGATCTGCTGCCAGGTGAACCCGGCAGCGAGGAGCAGAGGCACAGAGGGATCACACCCGGCTGCTTCCCGCCCCCCCCTCAACGCTTCCTCCCTTCCAAGACACATCAGAGAAGTCTTTAACACCTAAAACGTGTCTCGGCAAACTGCGGGTCTTGCAGACTGAGCCCACCTGGCCAAGATTAACTAATTCACCAACAGCTTTAACACAGATTACACGACATTCAGACTATCTCACAGAGCTGACAGCCTCACGTGGGATTAGTCTCGGCGTGAAGGTCACTTCCATTTTAATACTTCACATGTCTGGAGACCACAAGAGGCTCCAGCAGCTTAAGCATCTGCTGAGCAAGTAAACACTCTTGTCTAGCTGTCAATTCTAAAGCCCTTCCCTAGCCCCAAAAACGGGGAGACACAGTGTTTGCTAACCCCCCTGGAAGATTCCTGATGAATCACTGCTTTTGTCCCCTGTCCACACACTGGGCACCTGCAAGTTCATCAGACACAAAGAACTCCACAGTTCCACGCTGCAAGAAAAACCCTTTTCTACTAACGGCATCCAAGGGAGTGGAGGTGCAGAAGGTATCAAACCTCAGATCTGCCAACTCTGAGCTGACAATTTACCAGCGCTGCTTTAAATATCTCATAATGAAAGCAGACATGCTTCAGTCAGCTCCAGGCAACCCCACGACGGCTGAAGGATGCTCTACAAGGTGGGACTTGTGAAGAGCCTGTAAATAACGCTCGTGAACTTACAGCTCCTTCAGGTGAGCCTGGGCAAACGCATTTTCTTGGATGGACATTACTGCGTTGTTGCTTAAATCTCTGGAAGTTAAGCAAAGAGAACAACCATGGGTAAGTCCGATTTCACATGACGCCTTGTCAAATTCTTCAGAATCTGACAGAAAATACGAGACTGAAGTTGACAAATAGCTACAAGTTCTACAAAGTAAAGTACTTACAGATGTTCAAGTCCTTCCAGGCCAGAGAACGCCCTTTTGGTAATTGATTTAATCTGGTTTCCTTGCAAGATTCTGAAAGACAAAGCACCCCCCAACCCAGAAACCAGTCAATGCCAGTACGACAAATCAGAGCCAAAGGAACTCTCTTTAACTAGTTTTTTCTAATTCTAGCTTAGCTCAAAGATCAAATACTATTTTTTGAGCTTACACGACTGATTTTCCCAAGGGCAGGGCTTCTTTTCCAGTCTTAACTTGGAGATTTGGGTTAGGGATGTGTCAGAAGATAACTTAAGGCAGCAGAATGAACAGTGGTAAGCAGAACGTGGTAGCGGAGCAGCCACTTCCTGACACCAATCTGCCACCATCGCGTCAGCTCCCGAGACCACAGCCTTGTGCCCAGCTATTTGTTACAAGCCATTTCTGTAGCTCCGCAGGATGGAGCTTCCTACAAAGCACGTGGCACTGGATGAAAAATGCATAGTCAGGTACTGCAGAGCTGTTCATTCTACAGTGCTTCATGTTTGCTCAAAAACACTTGGGTTTTGGGGTTTTTTTGATAAGCGGTAACTTTTACCCAAACCAAAGGAGCACAAGAAGTGTCAATCATCACTCAGCAGGACCGGGCTAGTTAGTAATAAATGAAGCCAAATGCCTGCGTCCAACTTCTTCAGATTGGTGCTGCAGGGTGACGCAGTGCTACACAGACCCAGCGCTGCGCAACAGGCCCTGTCGAGAGGTTGCAGCACACAGGAGGAAACAAACACCCTGCACACAGGTGCCAGCCAGGAAGGCTCTTGGCCTCACGTCACTGATTCAGAGTTACGGGATATCCTGCACTCTCCCCGGCTCTGCGCACCCTGGAAGCACGGCTGTTGCCACGGTTTCTAATACGTACAGTTTATCCAGCCTGCCGAGACCCATGAACGCTTCGTTGGCATCTTCTATGGCCCAGGAGATCTCATTGTTCCGCAAGTCCCTGCGGGAGAAGAGCTGTCTTACAAAGCAGCCTGGCAACATCGCCACGACCACGGCCAGTGCGAGCTGGGGAGGAGAGGGGGCCTGCTCTGGTGTTCTGGGCCCTGTCACCCGGAGGGTCTCAGACCTTTGATCCAACCAGGCTCCTCAGAAGGTGAATATCGCGTTTCGGAGATGCACGGGAACACACACTTGAACAAGACCAGCGCCGCAGACAGAACCACAACCAAATTCTGAAGCCCAGCGCCTTGATGTGCTATTTAAGAAAGACCCAGTCCGACTGGGGCTTCTCACGTGACGGACTATTCACCGGCGGCTGGGAGAGGCTCCTGGAGCAAGTTGGCTCATGTAAGTGAATTAACCAATCCACCGCAGCATTAATCTGCCTGAGCACCAGGCTCATAATGGCATTAGCATACTAAGAGATTACACGCAGGTTGTAGCGTGAGGCTGCGGGCATGAAGCAGGTTTCCAGAATGAAGCTGAAATTCTGCTCTCGCAAATCTTGTTACCAGCTAATGGGATTTCGGCCTGACCCCTGCGCAGCACTCCGGCCCCTCGCGCAGAAGGGCAGCCTGAACGGCAAAAGCAACATAACAACACGGCTCGGGGAGGATTAAATGCTTTGTAGAAAGAAGGCGAAAGAAGTTCAGTTGGGTTTTAGCCTGAATGGCAGGGACTGAGCCGAGACTTCCCACCAAAGCCATGGTTCTCGTCTGTTCTGATGCTGCTGTGCACAGAATTCCCTGCAGACAGGAGCGTGCCGACAGGAACACGCACCAAGGCAAAGCTGTGCTGCGTTTTACCAGGTATCACGCAGCTGCTGGATGGAGCTTCCAGTGACACAGAAAGGGAAGACAACTGTGCATCATCTCATACGAACACTGCTGTCCTCGGGCTGAGGGTGGAGAAGCAGTGTCTGCTTTCCCTTGGGTGAGACTAAATCGTGTAGAACACTGGGCTGGGAGAGACTGGGCCAACCTCCAGGCCACTGTCAGTGGAAACGCATTATTTTCTTATTTTTCTTACTCTGAAACATGGATGTCTTGTTCTTAAGACCACGCAGCAGGCGTCTCCCCACTTTACACATATGCACATCAACGTACTTGACACGGACGTGACCTACTAAGAACGACTAGAGGAATAAAATGCCAAATTTATTTCGAAGTTGCTAATTGCTGGGATTTGAAACTTTTTTCTAGAGTCATCTCCAGATCTGCTTCACAATTTCGGACTGTGAATGGAGGAGGTGCAGCAGCGCCACGCTGCTCACAGCACTACGAAGTGCACTAAGGTGTAAACCAGCAGAACTCCACTTCTCGGATACACCTTTAATCCTACCCTGCTCTCATCACCTTGTACTTAAAATACAGTTTTACTGTTTATCATCGTTCACAAAAGCTGCGTTGCAGAGCAGTGGCAGGAGCTGAGCGTACAGAGGAATAGTGACATCAGCCTTCAGGCAACAACGGCACGAACCCGGCAGCAACACGCGTCTCCTGTTGTCCCAAGTACTTTTACACTCAGAGCACTTGGCAAAACGAGTGAGCAAGCCCGAAGAAAAGCCCCTCGTTGTGTGAGCTGAGGAGGTGGCTCCTCACGCTCGGCTGGACACGAATGCTGGGAGCCTCGTTAATCACCGCTGCCCCCCGGCCTGCGCATTCCAGCCCAGGGTGAACGGCCAGCCTTGCCGCTGCTGACACCCCTGAGGAGCCCAGAAAAACCTACTAATTAATCTGCTCTTGTTCTTTGTCATGCTACTTTAAATCTAAGAAATTAGTTTTAATTATTTCATTAAAAGGTTGCATTAAGGTTAACAGAATCCGACTGCCTACATAAATCTCTCTGGTGAGTTTGCTTATTTAAGCATTTATTCAATGAACTGACGGAGGGGTTAGAAACTTTCACTCCTTTCCCAACTACTGCTGCTGAGGATGATTACAACTGCTCAGACCTTCTTGGGACACGGCTCTTCATTACGAGCCAGGACGGAGCCTTTTCTCGTCAGAAACGCCCGACGGCTGCAGCTGCGGCGAAGGGCGCTGGCAAGCGCCGAGCTGCGCCGCTGCCAGCAGGAAGTAATCCTGCTGCACTCCCACAGGCCGCGCCTGGCTTCAGCACGGGGCCAGGGCGGGCTGAGCCGCACCTTCTGCGACCGAGAGCGTCCAGCGCTTGGTGTCCGAGGTTCCAGCCCTAACACCACCGCCGGGATCGAGAGAGGTCCAGGCTGACCGGTCGCCTCGCAACTGGCACTTCCACAGGCTGACCACCCTCACCTCCTCGGAACTGGTGTGACGGCGACTGGGCTCTCGGGGTCACAAAGCCACCGCGTCCTAATGCCACTGAATCAAGCGGTGGGTTTGCTGGAGCTGGGCCAGAACTGGGTTCTCTCGCAGACAGAGAGAACCCGCCACAGCAGCGGGCAACGTCGCACACCCCAACGCCCAAACACCATCTCGGGCTCGCACGGAGCAACGTCCATCGTCTGCAATTCCCAAAGCTTCGCCACAATACACTGAGGTTTCAACTACTCCCCGTACTTACAAGGTTCGAAGATTTGTCAGACCTCTGAACACACCATCAGCGATGTGACTAATGCGATTGTCACCCAGGTTGAGTTTCTCCAGCAAACCAAGTCCCACAAAGGCAGACTCCTTCAGGCGAGTGAGCTGGTTGTACGACAGGTCCCTAGAAACAATGAATATGCACTTTAAGGGCAAGTAGAGGGGGATTAATTAGGAAGATACTATCGAACTCAATTAGCTATTGAGTTCTGATTCATTTCTCCAACAGAACACTTGTAAATATAAGTAAAAACCACAGCATTACCATGGGCCCAACAAGGAAATGAAGCGCTTCCTTTG